TCCTTTTACAAAATTCTACCTTTCTTCCCTTATTATCCCAAATGAATATGCCTGAGCAGCTTTGGTGGTGTAGTCTTTCAGAAGGCACTGCTGCTAAATCGAAGGCCTCTCTAACTGTTTGAATCCGCTAGTGGTTTGGGAAGATGCACTATCTCTTCTTGTGCAATTTATTGTCTCAGAAACCCAATGGGAAATCAGCCATGAGTTGACTGACTCCACAGCAATGAGTCTGAGGGGTTTTGAATAAATATCCCACATGCTAAATACCACTTCACTCTGCTTCTGATGAGATGAATGGACAAAATAACTGGGGTATTGAAGGTCGATGTGTCAGAGATAGTGACATTGGCTCAGGATAGAGCAAAGTTCAGATTTATTGTATATAGAGTCACTGAGTTGTGGTCCACTCAGTGGCACATAACAACAACAATATGGCCCCTGGTGGTCAAGTAATTAAGTGTCCATACTCTGGCAAGCCTCTACTTGGATTTCTTTCCTGTCAGGGAAGCCTTTCTTCTGAGCTACTATTTGAAATTCCAGTTGTATACTTGTACCAGCACTTTAAATTCAACAAGTCCAGATCGGATGCTTACCTGATTTCTTAGTCTTGTGCCTTAGCACAACATTTGGTCTGTATTTTCTCCATTTAACTATTTATTTAACAAAACTGCTATTGTTTTATTATTATTAATTTTAATGAAAATTTAGATATTTTGGATTTCCCTTCTCTCATTGTTGCACTTTTCTCCCTACCCACCTCTCCCCGACCCAGTTCGTTCTTCTCTTTGATAAGTAAAAGAAAAATTCTTTCATTGTTATACAATCCCTCCCCCCAAGTCCACTCCACTATGCAGCCTTCGTTTTGGACTCCTGTCATGACAATAATACCTAACCACATATCCATCCCTTTTAAACAGTTCTCTCTTATCTGTTTCAATGCAGTAAACATAGTTTAGCCCATCTTTCTCAGTCTCTCCCCAACCCCGATGTCAGTCCCATTTTACAACAGTGGCACTATGTAGTATTTGTCCTTTTGTGACTGAGATCTTTCACTCAGCATAATGTCCTCCAGGGTC